GCCCCCACAGAGCCCTGATCTCCACATCATCAAGTCTGTCTGGGATTACATGAAGAGACAGAAGGATCTGAGGCAGTCTACATCCACTGAAGATCTGTGGTTAGTTCTCCAAGTTGTTCAGAACAACCTACCTGCTGAGTTCTTTCAAAAACTATCCACTCAATCACTGTGTGCACCTAGAAAAATAGATGCTGTTTGAAAGGCACAGGGTGGTCACATCAAATATTGAGTTGATTTGGATTCTTTTTCTGTTCATTTACTTTCCATTTTATTTACTATTAAAAATAAACTATTAACACTTCTATTTCTGAAAGCATTCTTCATTTACAGCATTTTTTTACACCGGCCTAAATATCTCTGTTGGTCGAATGTGAGAAAAGTATGCGTCCTCTAGTATAGAAATTAGTAAAGTTAGATGAGTACTGTATACCTTGGGCAAGGAAAATAGCCCTTTGGTGAAAAAAAGATTGATTCCTGTTTCTTTTAAGGTTAGTTTGAAGGATCTTCTGAAAGTACTCCAGCAGAAGAGATTAATGTTATGGGTGCTATGAAAATAGCCTGTCAAAATGACAATAAAAAGAAATGTGTGAAAGCAGTATTATGTCATACAATATAGTAGCATAGCCCTTTAGACTGATATTATATGATAATCTCAGAGCATTGGCTGTTGCATGTGATAGTGATGGCAATCCTATAGTGGAGCAACAGCTTATGTAAAACGGGGGTTGTAAGGACAAGGACAATAGCCTGTTGGAGGGAAAAAAAAATACTAAATTTGAGTGTGATAGAAGTAATTTGTCACTTTCAAAGCCAGCCTGATGCGTGCCTCCTTTTTATTTGCTCCATTAGTGAATAATCTGAGGACTTTGGGGATAGTGGATGACAGCATTGGAAGTCCTATTTTTGTCCAGGGGAAAAGCAAGGTCATTTTAACAGGGGCACAAAAAAAAACATCTTATCAGAGAAAATAAAAATAAAAAAGCCTGGGGAGAGATATTGAGGCTGATTCTCTTTTCACATGATTAGATAATTGAAGTGAATCTTAACACATTTTACTATGTGAACAATGTCAATTCCTTTATTCCCCTTTCACACGAAGGGTCCAGTCAGGTTCACCTGTCCATGGCACAAGTCCATTTACATCTGTCTACCTCCAATCCGATTCAGTCTGCTACGAAAAAAAATTGCCCCCTCCAGCTAGACAAATCAGATCGGAGGCAGTCGGGTGTAAATGGACTGTTTACACCCACCGGTCCATAGAGCTGATTGGGCTCTGCTCTGGTTAAACTGGGCAGATAGGGACCTATCATCTACCTGTTTTGCTCTGATCAGCAGGAGATTAGCAGACAGATCCCCTGCTGATGTAAATGCCGTCTGCTACATGTTAAAGGGACCTTAGTAAATCTGCTTCATTGTGTCACTTGGGTAAATCAAGTTCCTTATCGGATTCCAAATCCAATTATCACTGTCAAGCCACATTTCCAACTGCCCCACTCTGCATAGATCTTTACTGTGCAGTCTGCTTGGTTCAGCACTGCCTCTTCATCAAAACCCTCCATCAAACCCTGCTCCTCCTGTGCATGCATGCCATAATCTCTATTGGTTCCTGTACACCATCAGGATAAGTGGCATATAAACTCTTTATTAGAATGGTTCTCATGGCACTTACCCAAATATATAATTTATGTGTAGCAGATTGCAGACTACTATAATTGTTGTTCTGGCACCTGGTATGGTTGCTTTCATGCTTACTAAAACCTCAGCTTTTATTAAAATAATACATTATAATTCTGCTTTAAAGGTCCTTGTGTAAGAATGTCTTCAAATGAGGTAAAACCTTTATCCCAGAAGTGCTCCTGTGTTGTCTCTCTGTCATATTCATCCCTAGTGGGGATCCAGTTTCATGCCTGGCTGTGCTGACACACATTGCTCAGGCATGGTCCATTGCTGTCACCATTCAGAAGCCAGTCCAAAGCAATAATTTGCAGCTGAGGCTGAGGCAAGTGCATATAGACAGGAAATGAATGTGCTGAGCTGTAAAAAAGATGACAATAAAAGAAAAGTATTTATAAGACAAAAATATGGAAAATATTTATACTAATACCTAGTGCCCTAAAAACTAATGTCATCCTGTTAGGATTTAGATCTACATTGCGTTTAAATTTACATGTATACACTTCAGTTAACATAATGCTAGAACGTCTATGACACATTATGTGCAATTAAACATCACCAATAGCAGACAGTAGGTAAAATTTAATGAGCCATTCCTATGATTAGCTGTAGTGAATATTGCCTTTGCAATGCTTACTGCCTCTGTTGCTTGTAATTTCACAGAGAGTGGCTTTTAAAGTCTGTAAAGGTAAATAGGATCTGTTTCTGATTGCATCTTGTTCTGATTACATAGGGTTAAGTGCCCCAATAGCATAGCTCAGGTATGTAACGCCATAGTATACTACTGGATAAAATTGCAATTCTTAAGAAGTGTACATATAAGGATGATTTGTGGTTTTATTTCAAATGCATGCATTTTCATATTTTTTGTTTTGCATTTTTAAAAGCATATAACATAATGGTATAGTCTACTTAACAGTAAAAATATTAATTATGATGTGATGGTGTCAGTGGACAGGTAAAATTAAGGTGTACATGGTAGTCTTTAAAGGTGCTTTGTAAATGGTTTCTGAGATTTTATGTGTGCTTCCCACTTTTTTTGTGTTTCAATGTATTCTTGTTATTTGACTTTCTCCCACAGAAAGAAAAGTTGTCCAAAACACACATTTAAAGCTAAAGTAGACACTTTGTACTGTACCTCTAATAAACACAAATACATTCCCTGTCCTTTCCCTGTGTATTTTATGTCCTTTGTGTGTATTTTCTGATTATTTGTTTGTTGTTTCACACACACACACACACACACAAAAAAAAAAAAGTAAAATAAAGCAAATTAAAGCAGAAGTACACAATACTTCTATTTTCTTTTTGGTTTTTTTTTATGTCTGTGAATAAAAATAAAATAAAATACTCAAATATATTGGGAAAAGCAAATATGTTTTTGCGCACTGTCATTTTATTTTTTCTGTTTTTAACAAACACTTGTAATGCAACATGTAAAATGTTTAATCCCTTTCAGCTCAATCCCAGTGTCCCTTTCACTGAGTCTTTATGCATGGGGGTGGGAAGGACTGGTTGATCACCTAACCACTATGATTGGCTGTCACAGGGATCAAATGATTGGTAGCTGGTTGCACCAGCTCTCAATCAACAGTGTAGACCAAGAGTTGTCTCTGAGAGCTTGTACACTGTGTTGGCAGTACACAGTGAATGCACTCTCAGAATATAAAGCACTGCCACCAAAGGACGCTTATGTGCGATGTGTGGGTGTTAAAGCCTACCCTCTTTGCTACACACATATGCATCATTAGGTTGCAGTTAAAGGTAATTTTTTTTCTCCTCAAGAAAATTTTGCTCAAGCAGAAATTGGTAGAAGTTGGTAAATTTGCAGCTAATTAAATTCTTAATTATGACTCTGCGTAGGAATAGGCATCTGTGGCATGACATTTAAAGAGGTGTATTTATAAATGTTTCATATAAGTTTCACACATTTTGTCTAATTGGATTCACTTAGAAAATGTGTGAATCATGTGTGAACACTGTGGGAATCTTGTGTGAAAACATTGATAAGTAGACCATCTTGCAGATAAGCAAAGCTAGGAAAAAAAAGTATAAAAAGAGGGTGACGAAACTTTAAAAAAAAGTTTCTTAATATTATTTCAACAAAATACTTATCTATATTTGCTTTACCTGTGTATTTGAGCCTTCATCATTTGTGAACCTTCAGTATGAGAAAACATTTGAAAGGAAAAATTAAAATAATGTGAAATTGCAAAGTGATATCTCACTGGTACTATTGTAGTAATGGGTATTGTGAATGTTCTAACTCAGAATTTAATATGTATATGTATGTACCAGCTTCCCACTCCAAAACTCAACCGTTCTTGCAAGATACAGTTTCCTTTGAAATATAGGCCCCACTGTAGAATCCTGTAACACTTCTATTACCTGTTCGCTTGTATTACTGTTACTGTGAAAGGTTCATTCTTATCCATATAGAGACTTTAGAAGCACTGCATACCCAGAGCCTACAAACAATATTGACATGCCTTAGTGTCCATACAGACAATCATATCTTGTATTGAGTTTTGAGTTTTCCAACTTGGACCTCCAATATTCAAATAAATATGTACCATTGCAATCTCAATTACCCAAGATATAAGGTTCTTTCCTTGAATTAATGACCATGTTTTTACTCCAGATTTTATGGCAATACCTTCACATTAGCTAGTTTTCTTTAATTAGGTATTTATAGTTTGATGTTTAGGTTTACTAAAGAAGTCTAGAACTTTCACACAATAAATTGTGTGAATATTTACCTCAATTATCAAATGATGTGAAATGCAAATTTCTTTATATTTGTTTAATTAGTGGACCCCCAATTAATGTTACTTTGGCGAGGGCATAGGAAATTCCAATTCTTCAAATTACATGCTACAGAGATGCTTTAAAACTATGTGTGGCGTTACAGAACATTAAAACTGCCATCACATAGCATATTTTCCGCTCCATAAGACGCACTTTTTCCCCCAAAAAAAGGGGGGGGGGAAATGTCAGTGCGTCATGAAGCAAATATGGAGCGGCCAGTCCAGTATTCCCGCTGCCGCCGCCGTGTCAGAATACTGGGCCGGCCGCTCAGCTCTTCTCTGCAGCAGAACCTTACCTGTTCCTCGGTCCAGCACTGTACAGTCTTCCAGCGTCGGCATCTTTAGTGTGGGCACTGCTGGGTGCCAACTGCCCATGTGTGAGAAGCGCTGCGCTTTGTGAATGGTCTGGCGTCTTCTGGGACACATGACAGCTCTCTGGTCATCTTCTGTACTATTTGCAGTCTCTGGTCATCCCCTGCACTATCAGTACAGAAGATGACCAGAGATTACAGATAGTGCAGGGGATGACCAGAGACTGCAAATAGTACAGAAGATGACCAGAGATTGCAGACAGTACAGAGGATGACCAGAGACTGCGGACAGTACAGGAGATGACCAGAGACTGCGGACAGTACAGGAGATGACCAGAGACTGCGGACACAGTACAGGAGATGAACAGAGACTGCAGACATAGTACAGAAGATGACCAGAGATTACAGACAATGCAGGGGATGACCAGAGACTGCAGACAGTACAGGAGATGACCAGAGATGGCAGACAGTACAGGAGATGACCAGAGACTGCGGACACAGTACAGGAGATGAACAGAGACTGCAGACAGTACAGGGGATGAACAGAGACTGCAGACAGTACAGGGGATGAACAGAGACTGCAGACAGTACAGGGGATGAACAGAGACTGCAAACAGTACAGGGGATGAACAGAGACTGCGGACATAGTAGAGAAGATGACCAGAGATTACAATGTCCGCAGTCTCTGTTCATCCCCTGTACTGTCTGCAGTCTCTGGTCATCTGTACTATGTCCGCAGTAAATAAGACTGGATCCCTCACCATCATAATAGTTGCCAAACAGTGGAAACGTTTCATATTATAACTTCTTTTAGTGCAGTACCACACTGCATTGTCAATAATGTTCAAACAAAATTTTAATATAAAGTGCACAAAAACATTTCAAAACCACATTCCAGAAATGAGGCAGTTGTTATGCAGAAATTACAAGAGGCTGTTGTTTTAGAGACAATAATCAGACATATAACACAGTAGATGAGTTTCATTGGGCATCAGAGCAGGATGGAGAGACAAGACCTGTTTTAAAAAAATCTAAAAAAAATGAAAGAGGATTATGTCAAAAGACAGAAATATTACAGAAACATGCTTCACATCATATATAAGCCTTTTTAGTATGCTGCATTTGAAAAGGGACAGGAAATACAGTCTTAAAATGACAATAGATTTTGTTGTTAGCTTAAAGTATGATTAAAGGAGTATTTAAAATATTATTCAGTCGATATATCCAGGACAAAAAATATTTTTCAGAGAGTGTAGTGTTTATTGAATCCCAGGAACAACTCTATTGGACTTTTCATCTAATAAAAAATTATACATTGATCATAAGCTCTAACAGTCCCATTATAATACTAAGTTCTTCTCTTTGGCAAGCTTACACACACTACACACATCCAGTATAGATGTCCAATCTATATCTGCACCTGTATAACTTTCATGCATCCATATACACTACATCCTAGACCATTCCTCTCATCATCTTTAGCCAGTTTCAGCGTTCCTTTGATATTTAGGGGATTGTCTGACATTTACACTGAAGGGGGTTCTGATTGGCTAACTTGATGATCCCTTTGATGTATATAAATTCGAATAATCAACTGTGCACATCTTCTAGTGGCAATTAACCAAACAGACAATACATAATGACAACAGCTATAGATAATTTTCTTCAGAAGAAACCTGACAATGATTTATAACCCTGAAATCAATCTTGTGAAAGGCCCAACCGGTCAGGAAGCTTATCATAAAAAAGATGTAGTTTGTATATGACTGAGGAATCTCAAAATATGAGCCATAAAATTTCCTCCCACCAAATTCAGAAACAGAAAAGTACCAAAATTTGTGTCTGTCTGCACATGTATATTCAAATTAGACAAGTTTGTTTTGTTTCAAATCGAATTTTGGATGAATTTTTTTGTTTTTGGAGATTCAGATGTATCAGAATTCTGAATTACAAAAATAACAAATTTAAACAAATCCGAAATAGGGAAACAAAACGAAATTCATCCAAAATTCGATTCGAAAACAAATTCTAATTCGAAAAGCAAAATCGAACAAACATTCGAAAACAAATTTAAAGTGGAGCTCTACCCAAAAAAGGAAGCTCTGCTTTAAGGACTGGTCCCTTGCTCCCCCTTCAGGATTGGTACCTTTGGGGAGCAGGTACCCAAAATTGACAGCTACCCACTCACACTTCCGCTGTGATCACCTAAGGTGATCAGAAACGGAAGTTGTCCTCCCCCCTCCCTCCCCATAGTCTTCTGGGACATGTGACAAGTCCCAGAAGACTACTGGACCATTCAGAAAGCGCAGTGCTACTTGCGCATGCGCAGTGGGGCACCCGGCTGTGAAGCCGCAAGCTGTCACAGCCTGGTGCTGTCACAGCCTGGTGCCCACACTGAAGATGCCGGTACCGGGAACACAGTACACACTGCAGGATCGAGGGACAGGTGAGTGTTTTTTTTAAAGTCAGCAGCTACAGTTTTTCTTCCTGCCCCTTTGAATTTTTCCATCACTGCTGTCGAAAATGAACATTGATTTGAACCCACTACTGATTAGAAAATTAAACAAATATTCTTGAAACTAATATTCTCGGATGAAAATCTACACATGTAAGACTAGCCTTATTCAAAACAATTTCGACTGATTTCAAAAAGATTTCAATCGAATTCAAAATTCTAATTTTTTCCCCCTGATTTAAGCTGGTCCTACACGTATAGATTTTCGGCAAGAATATTCGTAAGAAAAGTCGTACAAAAATTGTTTGCATACTCGATGAATGGACGAATGTCATTAAAAAACTGACCTTTTCATTTTAACATTCGATTTTAAAACAAATGTAATTTCTAAAAGATAACCACATGCACTGGCTGAAAATTCTTTTGATCGAGAAAAGTTTTTCTTCCTTCAAATTTTCCCATGTCCTAAACAAACATCAATTTGACCCCACTAATGATTAGAAAATCAAAAGGAATATTCCTGAAATGAAAATTCTTGAACGACAATCTATACATGTATGGCCATCTTAACGATTAGAAAATCAAATGAATATTCTTGAAAATAATGTTTTCGGCTGAAAACATACATGTGTATGTGCCTTAGGGTAGCCAAACACATGTAGATTTTCGGCCGAGGATATTCATAAGAAAAATCATACCAAAATTGTTTGCACATTTGATGAATGGATGTATGTCGTTCCAAAATTGTCTTTTGCTTTGAACATTTGATTTTAAAATGAATGTCATTTCTGAATGAGAACCACATATACTGGCTGAAAATTCATTTGATGGAGAAAAGTTTTCCTTCCTGCCTTTTCAAATGTTTCTGTCACTGCTGTTGTTGAAAACAAACATCAATTTGACCCCACTGTTAGAAAATCAAATGAATATTCTTGAAACAAATATTCTCAGACAAAAATCTACATCTGTATGGCCAGCTTAACATTTTGAACTCGGTTGAATTTTTTCAAATCCGATTGAAATCTTTTCGATGTCAAATGACTTTTCGAATTTTGTTGAATCAATTTCAAATTCAGTTGAACTAATTTCGAATGTGAATGACTTTTCGAATTTGGTTGAAATGTTTTTGAATTGAATTTGAATATGAATTATCAAAACAAAATTACCGAAACCTGAAAACAAATGGAACAAATTTACCGAATCCAACTACAAGAAATTTGTTAGATTTTGAATCAAAACAAAACATTTTTTTTCATTTTGCACATGTCTAGTTCAAATAACATATATACAGTACTTACAATCATACAAATCCATAACATAAACAGATTTCATACTAGCCCCTGGAAAGGTTACATTGCAGTTTATGAAGCAATGGATGCTCCACAATGGCTCATATGAAGTAAGTTCCTTATTCCATAAAGACTTTGAGTTTGAAAAAAATACAGAAACCACCACTGTTATGCAACAGTTGCATTATGAAAGAATAAAGACATTTAGGAATTTGTTTCATCAGATGGCATTAGATGAAACAAGTAAAGTCTTCTGAAGTGAGGATGTGGGATATGTTCCCCAAAGTCAGTTAAGAAAATCTCAAAATAAATTGTCTTATGTGGGGGGGGCGATTTCTTCTGAACTGAATCAGGAAGAAAGAATAGGCATTATAGAGGGACACAAAAGTCAACTGGTTAAAGCTTAACGGGTTAGAATATGGGGGAAAAAGAGGGTTGTGAAGGGGGAGGGGGGCAAGATTAGGTAAGGTAAGGTAGAGTGGGGGAGGAGGGACTTGATCAGTCTCAGACGTTGACCTCTCCCATCTCCCCACATGTAGCTACCTGAAACCTGACGTAATTTAGCCACCAGCTTTTGAATACGCATATTGTAAAAGATTAGATCTAGAAAAAAATATGTAGCTATTTTTAAATGGGTTACATCTCACTTCACAAGACTCTATAAAACTCTCATGAAACAGTTGTTTGATAATATGATTTTAGACCATGAAAAGAAACCAAGCTTTTAGACCATGACAAGAAACCATGCTAAGTTTTAAAGGCCTGTATGGCTGTCGGGCCTGATCTCATAGTTTGTAGCTCTTCTTAGTCCACACAAAGATACTGAATATTGTGTAAACGTTAGCTGACCTCACAGTCCAGTCCACACATCATGTGAGCTTTTTTTGCAGGCCACATTTGAGTAGGGAGAGATCAGGAATTTTTTTATCTAGAAGTAAAATTCACAGCAAATAATGTATTAGAGACAAAGCAGAACTATTACTTACAGAAATTTGCTGCGTCTCATGTAAGGCAATTTTTGTAGAACACATTTCTCTTGAAATTCAGAAATAAAACATATATTGGATTTCGTCAGACATATACATACAGTCATCTTTGAGTCAGTTGGAGTACTGTAGAATGCATTTTGAGACAAACACTGCATGCAGTTTTTCATCCTACAATCCCACATCTAAATGTAAATATGACAGAAAATAGGAAGAACTATTGTCAACACAACAAGGATGGCATTTCTACTGTTCTAGTAGGCTGGAGGAATATTGTGCACTATCTTTTCTGATAAACCTTATTGGCAAAACCACATCCCAATTTGTCATTAGAGCAACAAAATCAATTTAATTTTTAATTGTTTTGAAGATTACAATAGAAATAAGAAGCAGGATTAAAAACACAGTGTACACTAAAATGCTACAATTTATTTTAGTCCCACATTTCTAAACCACATTGCCATTTAGCTTTTGAGTGTCTGAAAAAAGGAATGTAGATTTGTATCATTAAACTTGAATTTGGAACTCATTGCATGAGTATAACTTCCTGGGAAGATTAATTTGATAAAACACTCACCTCATTATGTTCTTTTTTCCAAAGTGAAAGATATCCATCTCATCTTTTGAGGACAAAGAAGGAATATTAAAACACACAACATGGACAGTATAGCAAATATCTTGTTTCTAAAATTTACAAATTTTAATTGTCCACATTTTGACACCAGGCAGCTTGAAATCAAAATACCAACATTTGAGTGCATTATTTAACTGAAAACGGGTTAGTAAAATATTTTCCTGGTTCTCTGCACAGTATTTAAGCATTTTTACCAGTCTGCTGTTTATTGTGGACAGACCAGGTGGGTTTTAACGAAGAAATTAATTTCAGGTTATACTATTTCAGAGAGTCAATAGCCCCAAATATTTTGGATTAAAGGA